AGTAGAGGATCTGTTAACTTCACCATATTTTAAATTACTGACAACTACATCATTTTCTTGTGAACGTCCAACTTAAATGTACTCATTTCAAAGCTTCCGGCTATATTTTTATGCAGACTAGGCTCTCTTCTTTACCAGAAATGTGTCTCTTTATTATGGTGGATGTGACTCTGGCAAGTATTACCTTAAAATCACCTTAATATCATAGGAACTTTTGGAAGTTGAGGAGGAATCTCTATTTGAAACTTGTAAATGCATTCATCATCATCCCCTGGTTCTCTATGCTCGGTTCCAATATCAGTCCCAGATCCATCTATTTGAGGGAGGTCCAATTCCCAATTGTTAGAATTTCCTTTCTAATGTGAGGATCACTATTTTCCATGAGACAAATAATTAGTCTACATTATGCTGTTAAGTGGTTGATATCTTAGTCGCTTCTGATAATTTGGCCATCATCTGCTGTGACATAGTTTTGTCGACTCCTTAAGCCTTGAACTCTTGAAGGCACAAGTCATCTGTTCTCATTAGGCTTCATATTTTGTTTAATTGCAGATATGAGCTTCAGGAGTTGTAGTCCTCCATTTTTATGGGAGCTCCGCCAATTTATGTCCTATATAACCAGTGAGAGTAAAGTTACTGATATTGCGCGCATGTAAGAACTTTTAGCTGGCTCATATCTTCAGCTCTGTTAGACAATCGCCTTGAGCACAGAAGATAGGATGGAACTTAGCCAGGCTCTTGCCTCTGACGAGAAAGCAAAACATTTTCCTTTAACGCCTTTCAGAATTCTCAGGGGTGTGATATGTTTAGCGATTCTTCTTTCAACCGCATTCATTTGCTTAATTTATTTCTCACCAGTAGCAGCTGTTCTCTTGCGCTTCTTCAGCACACATTATAGTAGGAAAGTAGTGTCATTCCTCTTTGGTCTTTGGCTTGGATTGTGGCCATTCTTGTTTGAAAAGATAAATGAAACCAGAGTGGTATTTTCTGGAGAACATGTTCCACCACAAGAACGTGTTCTTCTGATGGCCAACCACAGAACAGAAGTTGATTGGATGTACTTGTGGGATCTTGCATTGCGGAAGGGATGCTTGGGCCACATCAAATATCTACTTAAGAAAAGTTTGATGAGATTGCCAGTCTTTGGATGGGGATTTCATGTGCTGGAGTTCATCCCACTTGAGAGAAAATTGGAAGTGGATGAACCAGTTATAAGACAGATGGTTTCGACTTTTACCAATCCTCAGGATCCACTTTGGCTGACCCTTTTCCCCGAGGGAACTGATTTCACGTAAGGAATAGTAATTCTTAGAATCTTATATATGATGAAATGTCTCATTTTTACCTGAACATTTCACAATTATTAAATGCACTTCGTATTCTGTTACTCTCTAAAATTGCTACTTAGCTTGCCTTTACTTGCAGTGAGCACAAGTGCAAAAGCAGCCAAGAGTTTGCTACCAAGAATGGATTACCTGTTCTAATGAATGTACTGCTTCCTAAGACAAAAGGTTTTTATGCCTGCTTGGAAATATTAAGGAGCTCCTTGGATGCAGGTTTTGTCTTGTAACAAATGTTTTCTACTTTTGACTCTCCAGCCGACTTATATATACTCCCTTACCATGTTCAATTTGCAGTTTATGATGTGACTATCGCGTATAAGAATCAGTGTCCAACTCTATTGGACAATGTTTTCGGCGTGGATCCTTCTCAAGTACACATTCATATCAGACGCATTCCCATTGAGGAGATTCCAGCATCCGAAAAGGAGGCATTTGCATGGTTGATGGAGACATTTCAGTTGAAGGATCACTTACTCTCTAATTTTATTGCAAATGGTCATTTCCCTAATGAAGGAACCGAAGAAGAACTCTCTACAGCAAAATGCTTGGTCAATTTTACACTAGTAATTGCTGTTACTGGAATGCTTGCATTCTTTACATTTTATTCATTCATCTGGTTCAAAATATATGTAGGTTTATCTTGTCTATACCTTGCTTCTGCTGCTTACTTCAATTTTAGACCACAACCCCTTCTTGGTTGTACTAATAAAAAGCCTTGGTGCAGAAAAAGTTCATAGAATGAAAAATCAGCACAAGGTAATATTGATGATGATTTTGAATTGCAGCCTTCAAATTCTTAACAATCTTCTTTCGTCTATTCCAGTATACTCATAGTACTTCTTCATCCCTTTGGCTTAATTACTGTTGGAAGTGAAAGTAAAATTTCGTTTTCCTTCTTTCCTGTCGTGGTTTTCTCAATTACTTTATGTCAACATGTCACCTTTTTTATTTCGAAAATAAGTTAATCAGTCGCTAAAATTAGATTTAGGATTTCTTAACATATTCTTGTTTAACCCAAAATTTGTTTAATAGTTAAATCAATTTAATTTGTAACAATAAGGTCACAAGCAATCGACTGACTCAATTTATGAAAAGAAAATCAGTGATGGCAGTAAAATAAAATAACACAAACGATTGTAAAGACAAAAGGAGGAGATCTCATTGAAAATCTTCTTTTAGTATGTTTACCCTAAAAATTGAGTAACAATTAAATTTATATTGTGGTTTTAATGATATGTGATTTAAATCAGTACCAATTGATAAACAACAAATTAAATAGATAAATTGGACAATAAATCAAACCGGTCTGCAAACAATGCCTCGACCTCGATTCGAGATAGTCTCGAGGTTAGTTAATAAGAACAGTGTAGGATGGAACAAACAGCGATGAACAGTAAAAAAAAGCAGCGTATGTGTATATTCTTATTAGTGAATAATAATTGTTCTCCTTCACAAGTGAATGGGATCCCTCTTTATATAATAGAGGAATCCTAAATAAGGTACAACTCTAATCACAGAAGTAGATCCGATGGTTGGCACTAATAACCGCTTTGATTTGATCTGTTCCGGAATTTCCGCCGTGATCTTCGACCGATTACTGATATCTCGCCATTCCGTTATTACGCCTTACTCGAAGTCAGTCATGCTTGATCTCCATTGTTGCTGGCCTCGATCTCAATGAACACTTCGATCTCCAGGCTTAATGTTCTATCTTCGAGCTCGAGCTCGAGCCCGATCTATTATGAGGTTACCCTCGAGGCAACTCCCCTGCCAACGAAATCGGGTATGCCCGATTTCGACCGTATACAGATAGTCCTCTCGTTTTTTGGAGTGTAACGAGAAGAAACGAATTCGAGACTTCGATTTAATACCTCGATCAATTATGACGTCAACATCGTGACGTAAGCAACATAAGCGATTGAAGCGTCGCGTCTGCACAGTTCCCAAGGTCATTAATTAACACCAGTTGATGGTTGGCCACCAGTGCTTTCAAACTATCAAAGTGGCTATTATAAATAGACCACCTTCATAATCTTCTCAAACTTTACCTTCAAACTTCTTCTAATCTTCAAAAGCTCTTTTATTCTCTTCAAGTTCATCAACTTTGCTGGTTTCTGTTTGTCAATCTCTTATTAAAACACAAATTTTGCCTTCTTCTTCCTTAAAACTCATATAGCAATGGTGAAAAAATTAAAGACCGTTCCTCAAAAAGAAAAGGCCTCCTCATCGCGTCCGGCCGGTGACAAAACACCGGTGAAGCCACGTATCGAAGAGTGCATCCCCTAGCCATGTGAACTTACTTCCGACTTTAAAGTCGAAAAACCCTCTTCGGTTCCTGGCCGATGCAAGCCCATGTCTAGATACATCTGTTCGATATCCGAAGGCGATCTCGAGCAGGTGAAAAAAGACTGCCATTGGGAGAATAAAGAGGTGGTGATTCCTACCCCCGAGGAGGACATCACCACTCATGTGAAAGGGTTCTTAAGTGTGTATACTTACCCTTTCACACTGGGTTCCGTCGATTCTGTCATAATTGACTTCTGCCACCAATACCGGGTAACCCTAGGCCAGATCTACTCCTCTTTTTGGCGCATTGTCATTTTGCTCAGATTCTTCTCGAGCAAGGTCGAGGGGATATCTTTCACCCTCTATCATCTCATTAGGCTATACAGCCCCCATCTTTATCGGGGTAGACTGATAAGGCTTCAGCACCGGGCCACGAAGGTACTGTTCTCTAGCATAGACGAGGATAAGGACCGAGGATGGATGGGCCGGTTTGTCCGAGTCAGGACCTCTGACTTAATCCCCGCCAAAAAGATGCCATTCCCCGAAGAATGGAACATGAAGCATAAGTAGAACCTCACCGATAACGTTTGATTACTTGTTATGTTTCCTTTACCTCTTCTCATCTATATTCTTCTGTATGGTGCATCTTCCCCCTGGTTTCCTGGTGCAGTCCTGGACCTTGCAGATTGGGTTCGACAACTAGTTTCAACCTCTTCGTATGCTGAGCACTCGTGGCGCGATTTGGCCAAGGATCAATGGGAGGCCAAAAATCATGGTAAGTTCCCCTGTCCGTGTTTAATGCATTCCTGTGAAATACTTCTTTTTAACTTGATTTCTTCTCATACAGGTCTTGGAGATAATGTCGTCATGAGGCTGCCTCCTACCAGGGAAGAGGAGGTCCCGAAGCCGACCAAAGACAAGAAAAGGAGAAGGGTCTCGCCTCCAGATACCCTGAAGCCCAGGAAAAGCAGGGCTCGAAAGTCGAAGATTGATCCCGTCGTTCTGTCTACCGATGTAGTCCAAATACTACGGGATGAAGACGAGGAGGGAGAAGATGTCGATTTCCTGCTGGTGGCTCGGAAGAGGGAAAGCATCGAAGCTTTGAGAACTGCTGAGCCGATGACAGTCGAGGAGGTTCAGCCGTAGACCGAGGTGATCTCGGAAGAAGGTCCGAGCAGAGTCCCCGAGTCATCGGGTGTTGATGATGCCTCCTGCCGTGATGAGCAACCGACCGGTGTGCCCAAAGGGTCTAGTTCTAAGGCCCTTCAAAGAGAAGAGAATGCCCCAAGTGACTCGCTCAGGGCAACTAACATTAATGATTCGCCGCCCGACCCCACATTCTCTGAGGGGTAGTTTCGGGATGCCCGATCCATGGGGAGCCTCTATATAGGGACGACCCCCGAAGGGGATGATATATTTGGCGGCTGCTTCGCGGGGGTCGATGATGTTCCTGACCTGGACGCATCACTCATTTTTGATGAGGCTCAGCGGCTTTTGAACCAAGTGAGTTTTAGCCTATGTTACCATGCTTGCGTTTGTTCTTATTTCTCTAAGTCTGATTTCCTTCCTTTCTGTACAGGCTACGACGCTCCATCGAGAAGTGTCCTCCAAATACAGAGCTGAGCTGGCCCGATGTGAGGCTGATCTCAAACAGATTACGGAGGAAAGAGATGCCATCAAACTCCTCTATGTGCAAAAAGAAGAGGAGATCATGAGCATTTGAGCCGAGCTGACAAGAGCTCATCAAGATTAGATCGAGCTCAGTGAACGGGTAATATAAATTTTTGGGAGCTTGTTATGTATTAACTTGATATTGGTGACTAACACATTCATCCTGCAGGTTCAGCAAATGGCCGAATTGGTTGAGCAACTTTGTGAGGAGGCCAAGATGAAAGAGGCAGAGACTTTGGGGTGGAAGCAAAACATGGATCGTCTCGCCTCGGAGAAAGATGCGGTTTAGGCCCAACTATCTTCGGTTGAGCGTCAACTCCGAAGCGCGAAGGAGGAGAACTTGGCCCGAGCCCAGAAGGTTGAAGAGCTCGAGACTCGGTTGGCCGCTGAACTTGCAAGGGCCACATCCGAGGCAGAGGCGCTTGTGGCCTCTTACCGAGCTGACGCTGAAGCCGCTAACACTCGGGTAAAGGAAATTTCTGATGCTACTGAGGTTAGATTGTCCCGTGTTGCCGAGCATGCTAGGCGCCAGTCTCATAGAGAGACTCTTGAGGAGGTACATGCTCTTGGCTTCAACCTCACGGCTGATATCGAGAGTGCGAAGGTTTTTTAGAATGAGGCCAGATCTTTGCTTTCTGATGATGAAGACTCTGCGAGTGGATCCGAGAACGGAGGAGATGAAGATGAAGCTCCCAAAGATGCGGCTCCCGAGGCGAACTAGGAACTTAGGATTTTTTTTTCCTTTTCTGTGTAAGACCCTGTGTGGTCTTTGTAAATACTTTGCATATATGAAAGATTCCTTTTCTTTCCGTTTCATCTCCGATTTTTGATTTATGATAAATTCTATTTTGCCTTTGCCTTGGGAAAACTTTGTTTTAATCGGGTTGTTGTAGCTTCTATAATTGAGTGAGCAATAACTCGAACTCAGAGTAGAACAAACCCTTAGGTTTTTTTAGTTAAGCAAGGGCGAGTCCCCGAGCTCAACCATATGTTCGGGATTTTGATTTCGGATGGCTTGATCGAAGCCGTAATTATACAGTTTTAATAGCCGAGTTCGAGTAAGTTTCGAACTCACAGTAACAGACCCCTTAAGGTTTTATATCAAATAATGATGAATCCTCGAGTTATATTCAAGTTAGTTTTATTTGAGCTCGGAATAGTGGAATCCTTAGGTCCGAATTGAGTGAGAACAAAATCTCGAACTCTAAGTGTATTGGCCCTTAGGCTCTTTAGATTGGGTCGATATGGCCTCTAAAAGATGACTATTTTTTCCTTTTTCCGGCTTAGAAGACTTAGTAAAAAATTTCTTTATGCCTTAACACGTATTCTTTACCCATTGGATTTTTTGAGGGTTCGATGTCGATCGAAACCCCTCTGCCTTTTGTGCCTTAGCACGTTTGTGTTAAGATAATTTGATACCTCTTAGGGTTTTTCAAGGGCTGATTTCATCGAAGCCCTTTTGATTACTTGTCGAGGGTAGCCTTTTTTAACCGATTTTCAAAAGATTTGAAGGCCTATTTTTATTACGGGATTCGGACGTCTCCGAGCTGCCTTAATTTGGCCGTAGCTTTTGGGTATGCCTCTTGGGCTTATTTCCCAATAACACTTCGAACTTGTTCGAAGTGTTAGTCCCTGAGAGTGATGTCCTTGGCCTACAGATCGAGGGGTGCCTCTTTGAGGTCTTATGAATTTGAGTTTAGATTACTCGAATATGTCGATCGTCGACGGCAGTCCCCGAGTGTACGAGGTATATTTGCACTTGGTCCTTGAGCCATTTCTCACAGTATGGAGCTTGTATAGTAGAAAATTTTCTTTGAGACACAAGATGTTTGATATAGAAAGAATGCTCCTTTGTATAATTTATACATGCGTGCATGTTTTGCCATCGGGGCTCGACTGATCTATACGGACACGGTTCATTCGACCAATTGGCCCATTACAAAGTTTCTCTATCGAGACCCTTTAACACGAAGTATTTTCCTCGAAAGTGTAACATCCGAGGGTGATGCCCCCCAGTATTCGAGGTTGATTGTAAAGAATCCTTGGATACTGTTGAATTGTCCTCAGGTAGCACATAATTATTGCCTCGTTAAAAACCTCGCCGAAAAAACCGACTTGGGACAAAAACTGATCTAAGGGAAAAAAGTGCAATGCGTGCTTTAAAACATAAGGTCTCGATGTCTTTGATCGAACACCTACAGTGAGTTAGTGTCGAATATATAAATGAAAAAAGGGAATAAAGTCATACCTTAGCAATAATATCATTTGAGAAGCGATATGTTCCAATTATTTGACAGTTGTTCGCCGTCCTTCGGCCGAGCTTGTAAGATCCCTTTTCGACGATGTCGAGGACTTGGTAGGGTCCCTCCCAATTTGGGTCGAGCTTCCCTTCATTAGGATCTCGAGTGTTGATGGTGACTTTCCTCAGGACTAAGTCCCCGACTCTGAAGTGGCGAAGGTTGGTTCTCCTATTGTAGTATCTTTCGATTCGTTGCTTTTGTGCAGCCATTCGAACGAGTACGGCTTCTCATTTTTCATCCAATAATTTGAGGCTAGTATTCATACCCTCGTGATTTGATTCTTCTGATGTATGTCAAAACCTGGCACTGGGTTCCCCGACTTCGACTGGAATCAAGGCTTCAGAGCCATATACTAAGGAGAACGGGGTAGAATTTCTCTCCATTTCCCCTTAGCGTCTTTCAACATTTTCTTTAGGTTTTGAATGATAGTCTTGTTCGTTGATTCGGCCTGTACGTTCCCACTATGGTGATACAGTGTTGATAATATCCTTTTTATTTTGTGATCTTTGAGGAATTTCATCACTTTGCTGCCGATAAATTATTTTCCATTGTCACACACTATTTTGATGGGTATCCCAAATTGACATACGATGTGATCCCAGATAAAGTCTATAACCTCTTTCTCTCTCACTTTCTCGAATGCCTGTGCTTCAACCCATTTAGATAAATAGTCAGTCATAAAGAAAATAAACTTAGCTTTACCTGGGGCCAATGGCAGAGGGCTGACGATATCCATCCCCCATTTCATGAATGACCATGGGGATAGGACTGAATGAAGTTATTCTCCGGGCTGATGGATCATCGGTGCAAACCTTTGACATTTATCACATTTTCGAACAAACTCCTTAGTGTCTTTTTCCATGCTATACCAGTAGTATCCTACTCTTATGATTTTGTGAATCAGTGATTAGGCGCTGGAGTGGTTGCCACAAGTGCCTTCATGGACCTCTCATAAAACATAATCAGTATCTTCTGGTCCTAAGCATATTGCCATATGAATCGAGTAGCTTTGGTTCGTAGGGCCCTCGACTCTTTAGGATCCGATGGGAGCTTTCCGTTCTTCAAGTATTCAATATATTTATTCCTCCAATCCCAGGTTAAGCTTGTAGAGTTTATCTCGGCATGACCTTTCTCGATCATGGATCTCGAGAGTTGAACGATAGTTCCCGAGCTGATCTCATCTTCCTCGACCGACGACCCCAAATTTGCAAGTGCATCGGCCTCACTGTTTTGTTCTCGAGGTACATGTTGTAAAGTCCATTCCTTGAAACGGTGCAAAGTTACATGCAGTTTGTCCAAATACCTTTGCATTCTATCCTCTCGAACTTCGAAGGTTATGTTTACTTGGTTCACCACCAGTAAAGAGTCACACTTGGCTTCAATGACTTCTGTTCCCAAGCTTTTAGCTAGCTCGAGACCTGCAATCATGGCCTCGTACTTGGCCTCATTGTTAGTCAACCTAGAAGTTTTGATAGATTTCCTAATAGTGCTACCCGTGGGAGGCTTCAAAACGATGCCTAGCCCGGACCCCTTCACATTCGAAGCACCGTCTATGAAGAGGGTCCATACCCCCGATGATATACCCAATTTTAACAAGAGTTCCTGTTCAACTTCGGGTACGAGGGTTGGCGTGAAATCGGCCATGAAGTCCGCTAAAATTTGGGACTTGATGGCTGTCTGGGGTTGATATTTGATATCGTACCCACTGAGTTCGACGGCCCATTTGGCCAATCGGCCCGATAGTTTAGGCTTGTGCAAAATATTACAAAGTGGTTAATACGTATATGGGGTGACATTGGAAGTATGGTCTTAACTTTGTAGAGGCACTTATCAGTGCAAGTGCCAATTTCTCAAAGTGTGGATATCTAGTTTCTGCTTCTCCTAAGGTTCGACTTACATAATAAATGGAAAATTGCGTACCTTGCTCTTCTCGAACTAGGACACCACTTACCACGATTTCCGATACTTCCAAGTACAAGTAAAGTTTCTCATCTGCCTTTGGAGTGTGAAGTAGTGGTGGGCTCAATAGGTATCGCTTCAATTCCTCTAATCCGGGGTCCAGGAAAAATCGTTTTTCTTTTTGAGTAGAGAAACAATCTGTGGCTTCGATCCGACAACCTCGAAATGAATCAGCCTAAGGTAGTTATCCATCCAGTTAGCCTCTACACGGCTTTTACGCTGTACACGACGGTGATGTCTTCGATGGCCTTGATTTTATCGGGGTTGATCTCGATCTCCCATTCGATACCATGAAGCCAAGGAACTTGCCCGACCCGACCCCGAAAGCACATTTCTCGAGGTTGAGTTTTATGTTGTATTTCCTTAAAATCTCGAACGTTTCCTGCAAATGAGCCAAATGGTCCTCTGCACCCAGGGACTTAACTAGCATGTCATCAATATAAACTTTCATTGATTTACCTATTTGTTCTTCAAACATTTTATTTACTAGGCGTTGGTAAGTAGCTCCTGCAGGTTTTTAGCCCGAAGGGCATTACATTATAACAATATGTTCCATACTTGGTGATAAATGAAGTCTTTTCTCGGTCCTCCGAGTTCATTTGGATTTGATTGTACCCGGAATAGGCATCGAGAAAAGTAAGGATCTTGTGCCTGGCCGTGGCATCGATAATGCGATCGATGTTAGGCAGTGGAAAAGAATCTTTGGGGCACACCTTGTTTAAATCCTTATAATCTACACACATTCTATGTTTTTCCCTTTTTTAGGGACTACAACTATATTGGCTAATCATTCGGGATATTTCACCTCCCGAATGGACCCTATTTTGAGAAGTTTAATTACCTCATCTTTTATGAATGCGTGCTTTACCTCGGATTGGGGTCTTCTCTTTTGCTTCACCGGTTTGAACCTAGAGTCCAGGCTTACCCGATGCGTCGTTATCTCCGGTGGGATCCCTGTCATGTCTAAATGGGACCAAGCAAAACAATCTATGTTATCAATAAGAAATTTAATAAGCTTTTTCCTGAGTTCGGGGGTTAATCCTGTTCCCAGGTATACCTTTTGCTCAGGCAGGTACTCGATCAATATAACCTGTTCCAGCTCTTCGACCATTGATTTGGTGGCAACAGAATCTTCGGGAACAATAAAAGTTCAAGGGGTCAGAAAGTGCTCCTCCTCTTCTTCTATCTCCTGCTTCCCCGATTCTGTCGAGGCTGGTGGCTGTGATTGCTATTTGACTTCCTATTTACCTTTGATGCTCGACCTTTCCGAGGTTGATAGTGTCGATATCGCTGTTACCTCATTGACCGCAAACATTTCCTTTGCAGCATGCTGCTCCCCACATACTATTTTTACACTGTCCGACATCGGGAATTTCATAATTTGGTGGAGAGTCGAAGGGACTGCCCTCATATTGTGGATCCAAGGCCTTCCGAGCAGGGCATTTTACCTCATGTTGCCCTC